CTATAGAATTCAGAGAAATCAACTGATATTTTGCAGATCCATTCCAAACATAAGAAATGTTTTCCATAGACGCTCAAATCTGTACCCTTAGCACGAAAAATATTCGTATCGTTTGCGAGTAAATATCACTGTCAAATGTGTACTGATTTTTAGTTCTCGTTGCATACGTTATGGCGCTAATGTTCAAGTTTTCATACATTATTTGACATTGACATTTCGCACTCGCAAACTATTCGATTTCGATAATGGTTCGTACTAGGGGTACTGAGCTTGATAAAGAATGAAAAGCTATCCTGGTGTAAAGTAGCGTCTCACTTTCGAAAGAATCCTCAGTTTCGATCTTTAGAGCTATCAATATGTTTTTCCGAAGATAGATTACAACTTGAAAGTTTAGATAGTCACAAATGATCACTTGCAAATGAATAAAAAAAAACTCCAACATTGCTTTAAAATGAGTACTCAGTGCATGCAGTGAATCATTTAACTAATGCAATTAGTCTTCACCTTCTACTATTAATTATTACTTTGTTACCTCTATTTATTTACAGAAGTTGCTTCATATAATTTGAACTGATCAGTAACCGAATAATTAAGTACCTAGCTAAGTAAGTGGGTACATACTAAGCATTATTCATTATCGTCTGAAGGCATTGACATTGGTTACACAAAAACAAGAACGACCTTCATGCATGGGGGAACGTCGCCTGCTCGCCTCACTTGACCATCGGCTGTGAATTTATTCATTAATAACTTAATTTATAATTTATTGTTAAGGAGTTTATCCTACTAATATTATAAAAGTGATAATTTGCAAGTTTGTGTGTTTGTATGTTTGTTACAGATAGTGCAATGCACGAAGATGCGCCCCACCGATTTTTGGTTGAAGGATAAAATTAGTGATAAAAAGATGATAATTATTATCATAGATAATTAGTGTGTACCGATAACACTTAAAAATTGGTGGAAGCTGGCACACATTTACTATAAACGGTTAGGAGGAATAGTGGGGCGCGTCTTCGTGGATTGCAATATCTGTACTCAATCCTGGAAAAACTACTGAATGGTATCGCGTGAAACTTGGTACTCATATACATGTATGTAGTTTATAATCTGGAATGAGTCTTATGATACTTTTTATCCCGGATATGCTTTTAAAGGGGAACAAATTGACAATTCCATCATACATGATTTTTGTGTAACTTTAATCATTAACCCAGCACACGCAACGGAATTTCCCAAATGGAATATTTTACTCGTTTTCGCAACATTTTACATCAATACTCCGCTCCTCCTAGTTGTAGCGTAATATTATATAGCCTTAAGCCTTCCCTAATAAATACACTAAATCTAACACAAAACGATTTTTTCAAATCGGACCATTCGTTGTAAGATTTAAAAATATATCTGACATAAGAGAGTCTCTTCATAACATGTCCTCATAGCTTAACTCGAGAAAAACATTTTACTTAAGTAATCATTTAAAATATCTTAATTTTGAAATGAAAAAGAAAAAACTTTGGATCTATAAATAGCGGTAAACGGAAATGAAATAAAAGAACTCGAATATGCTTTAGAGCTTGCGCTGCATTAAGCGGGAGCACAGAGTGGTCGTACGCTCAGCGAGCAGTTTTTATGTCATTTAATAAAACAGCGCGGCGCGGTCGACCCGCCATACGCAACGCTGCTCTATGAAATAACATGAAACAAACACTCGGAGCGCACGCCCGGTCGGTGCTCTAGCTGCGTGCCTATGGAGAAACCATCGTAATATTAATGTCAAAATAAGTAGTAGCTATTGTTACGACTTGTATTTTTGAACAGTATCGTTTATCGAAGCCTTGTATTAACCGACTTCAGTAGGTTTTTAATATCGTTGCATATGGGTATAAATTCAGAAATATACATATATTTATCTACGGGAGTAACTTTAAATGATCTCTACAGTAACGGTAAGTATGGCAATAATCTATGTAATAATATTTTCAGGTAATTTTATAAATCTGGAAAGTACATTTCTTCTAAAACAAAACTTAAACAAAAATCAGTATATTCAATAACGAAACAGTATATTAGGTGGGTAATATTTTATAGAAAATTAAATACTGTAATTTTGTCTTTAAAGCAATGGTGAAATCCACTTTATAATGTAAAATAATGTATAATTTGTATTTTTTTTTTATTAAATTTGAAATCTTCGCGCCATCTATTAAACACATTTTCCTAAGTTCTAACATCAACAGAAATGTTAGGATTCATGACTTGATGGGAATTTCTAATAATAAGATAAAATAGGTATCAATTTGTTGAAAACTATTAACTAGCTAAGATTGGTCTACAAGCTTCTATAAGAAACGAAGCTAAAATACCATTTCTTACATGCAAGCTTCAAAATTTCCATGACAACCGTGACCAAACTAATAGGGTGGTTGAGTAATGCCGCGATTACATTTGTTTTTAGCCCGAATACGAGTGCCAATAGAATTCGGGTAATCGTCTAAGTGTAAATGAACTGAATCGAGTACGCCCGTATTCGGGTAGATTATCCTTTTGTTTTAACGACACCGTCTTCCAGCCCGTATTCCAGCGTAAAATATTGCTTTGTTCATAAGTCAGTTTGTTTGTCAACGGGCAGTAAATATTCTCGTCGATTCTTTTGTTACTGTGATCGAAAAAATAATAATTTAATCCTATTTAATAGAATAAATGTGAAAGTTTATATATTTGTCACTGAATCCCGCAAAAACTACTAAACTGGTTTAGATATGAATTTATACTCACCATAATATCCTGGCAAAGTATTAGGTTCCTGTGGGATTTAAAAAAAACTAAAGTAAACGCGGGTGAAGTCCCGGGCGGCTGCTAGTTATATGATAAATAAAAGTAAAAATAATGATACAAGAAATGTATTATTAAATTTGTAATTCTGCTGAATATTTGTACAATGTAACGAAAGCTTTTACCATGACTTCAGTGGTGAAAATTAGAACTACATCTTTCGTCTCGTTTTAAGATTAAAGTGAGACAAAAGTATAAATCAAAAGAATTCGTTTGAAATAAAAATAAACCGTTAAGGATACGCACAGCACATAATTTTGAACTTTCGAACAATGTATAAAACATCCGTAAATGCATTTTTTTAGCAAATTGTGTTAAAAAAATTAACATATTATGTTAATCTTTCTGTGAAACTACCTATATTTCCTCTAAGTTTACTTACATACAAGCAAAACTATATTCTATGAGGATTTACAAATAACTTTTTTAATGTAAGCTGCAAGGTACTTGCTTATTTTCTTAGCACTTACATGTAATTTTAAATGGTGCATTTAAACCGTACTTTTGTCTTATCGGACAAATTATAGTTATTTGAAAAGTAAGTAAGAATTTTCCACTATATCTAAACGCTTTGCAAAAGCAATGGCACATTGTGATGTAAATTGAATGTTGTTGTTTGTATAAATAAGTAACTTTGCCGATGAATAAATAAACAAACAATAGGCTATTTTAGGGATGATCGATATTAGAAAAACATCGATGTTGATATCGATATTACCATCGATGTTAAACTGGAAAACATCGATGTTTTCCAGTTTAACATTGTTTATTCAACATCGATGAATATCGATCATCCCTAGGCTATTTGACAGTATGAAAAATAAAGTACTTACTAATTGTAGGTATCTGTTTTTTTATGAATGAATATTAGCGACGATTTAGGTATTCTGAAAAATAAATAATTAATAACATAAAAAAACATTAATCAAATATGTTTTTTTGTTCTATGGTCACGTGACCGAAAACACCCGGGCTTGGCGGAGACTAAACTAACGTCACACGCTAGTAAAGTACCAGTCTAAGTTACAGTACACGGTATCTTTTTGCGATTCAATGACAGTCGTGTGACGTCACATGCCAGCGAGACACCGGAGATATGATTTCACGGTAACATGAAAATAGGTTTTCTTTACTGAAATACACAACAGAATTATGAATATTCCAAATGACCCTTCCAGACCAGAGTAAACTACTAAGAGGGGGGAAAACCTCTAAAAATCATGCTTTACTTGTGGTGAGGATGAGGAATGGATACGTATGAAAAGCATTATTAGCAGAGGACATTGGTGTTTCGTCATAAAGGCCTGACATATTGCTCTTTTCTAGGCACATCAAACATATAGTACTAAAAGAGCTTACTGAACTGTGGGAAACTAACATTCCAAAATACCACACAATAAAATTGTATAAATATTACGTTCTTAGAAGTCCTTCTTCTTAGTCGAGAGGTATACCAACAAAATCTCTCTTGGAACGAGTAACTAAGGCTGCACTAACAGGTTCCTATAAAATATTGCTAGGAAGGGCGGGCAACTCGAGCGATGAAGGTGAGCGTTGATGCGCATCTTAAGGGGGCCTCCTCAAACCTACACCTGAGTCGCAAGTCCCTGGATCTGCTCAGAGTTTCTCTCTCTTCCACACGATGGACCCGGCACCCGCATGGTGAATCAATGGATTGCTAAGAAGTTCGTCTCTTTTTAATTATAGACTCCATTAATATTAGTAAATAACGTCTGACATAGTTCTCTAAGACTTGTCAAATACCATATATAACAGATACTATATTCCCCCTAACAGTATAACACATACTGTTCGGGTGAATTAGTATCTGTAGTACCTATCTATCAATTGCTAATAAATCAAACAGATCCGATAATATAAGGATACCAATTTTAATATAAGTGTATGGTTTAAGTATTGATTAATATATTAATAATATTCAATACCAACAATCGAATGCTACTAATCGGTATTCGGTAAGTCAAGTACACACTCCTTTTAAGCATCGTGTATGTGCAATGGATCATACAACACAGTACGCAAGAATTAATTTGCAACTGAGATATTCATAGTGACATCTGTAATAATACACACTGAATAGTCACATTGTTGTGACGTTTAGGTGTATTACTTATGATGTATATAGTAAGTTGCAGCAAGATGTCTTACAGGGTAGTTAAATAAAAAAGTGGGGAAAGAGTGTGCATATGTACATTTATTTGTTTCTTAGGTTTTCACGCACATCACTCATTAAATAAAGCTATTTTTGACGTGACAACGTCTTAAATTAGGTTGCGGCTGGGAGTCACTTATGAAAAAGTGTAACGCTCGGTAACGTTACGATGAGTCTCTCGTGTTAAGTTTAAGTTTACATGTACAATGTTTTAGTAAACAAAATATATTTCTATAGTTAAAATTTGTGCAATTCTTATTTTCATTCAATTCCTTGTTCCTATTGTGCAATTTAATTATATTCATATCAATAAATATTCTACCGAGAAAAAGACGTTGTCACGTAAAATCTTCGCCCGTAAAACCGACTTTACAGGCAACCATTTTTTTTTTCATTTTTTTTAACGGGTTAATGCACGAAACAGCCATTGTTCATCGTCTCTGCATCGTCAGAATGATGATGATTCTGACGATCTGACATCATTCTGACGATGCAGACCTGAAAAGGCTGCGAAACGTCAATAAATAAATAAAGTTTCGTGCATTAATATGTATATTTTTTCGGATTATATATTATTAATTAATCTCGAGGAGGTTCGTCATGGGTTTGCTCTGTGGTTCACAGATGTGGGAACTTATCTTCCATGGCGGGTAGGTCTGTGGGAGGTAGGGTTGCGACGGCGCGGCGGGCTGCGGTGTCGCGGGCTTCGACGACGCGGTGGCGGCGACGTAGGCGTAAAACCGCTGCGACGCGCGATGGCGGGCAGAGGCTGGCTGACTGGGGTGAGCCCAGTCAAAGGTCAGGCGTAGAAGCCCGATTTTGGGGTAACTACACTGAATTTAGTTTATTGAAGTTTTACTTATAGCAAGACATACAAGGCGAAAATGTGACGCTTTGGACGCGCTTTACATTTTTATTCTCCATATTTTCTTGAAAGTTCTGTGAGATGAACGATCGATCAAGTGAGCGAACGGAACGAATGTTGGACGAACCACCATTCGTTCCTCCCACTGTAAAGAAAGATTTCTTCTATATCCCTAAAATTTTCTTGTTATTTAAATTTACAGATTTTACGGACCAGGATTTACCCTTGTCCCGCTGTAAATTGCAACCCTCATCATTTTTCCAAATATCCCAAGCATTACAATTGAAATAATGTTTAGGTATAGTTTGCAAGTTACAGAAAACTGTGCGTGAAATGATATCTGTACCCTTAGCACGAACCAATATCAAATTCGAATAGTTTGCGAGTGCGATATGTCATTGTCAAATTTTGTATGGAAACTTGAACAGCAGCGCCATAACGGACGTAACGAGAACTTAAAATCAGTACACATTTGACAATGACATTTCGCATTCGCAATCTATTCGAATTCGATATTGGTTAGTGCTAAGGGTACGGTTATCTATTAGCCGCCTCCCCGTCCTAAGATTTTTGACAACATCAAAACAAAGTAATCAAAGTATTGATGATAACAATTTCATGTCTATTACTTTCATGTAATAAATATGTAAAACAAGATGTAAGTTACCAATTTGATTGTTCAAAGTATATAATTCCCACCGGCAGATGATAAAAAAGACTTTGTACATAATGTTATAGGTACTTATTGAATATTAAAATATGTATCCTTCATAATTTTTTATTATACTACGTGCTTAGTGATAATGAAAAGAACATCAAGTAAGTACGGCCGTTTTTTCGTAGAATATCTAATATTTCCGCGTGTATAATTTAAATAATTAAACTAGGTAGGCAGCCATATTTTACAGACTAGCTATATCAAAAATTGCGATCACAGGACTATCTAAAGAGAGAGATGAAAAAAAAATTAAGAGTATTTAGAAGAAATCATGTGTCCATTTGGAGTTTTTTTTTATGTATAAATACATTTATATCAGATGTTTTTAAAATTAAAAAACTTGAGAGATTAAAAGGTTTACTCACTTACCCACTGTATATATAACAATTGCGTATTTGTTATGCTTTGTAATATTGTTAAAGTCTATTTATAACGGATCATCTTCCATTTTGTTTCATCTAAACCTTCACATACCAATGGTGGGTACAGTACACATTTTATAAAAACAAAGTTACTTTAGTCTTGCAGCATGCAACTGTGAAATAACAGAAGGCAAGAACAACAAAATCTTTCGATTCAGAAATAAAATGATCACCTGTCATCTGCCATTTGTAGAGCGTAGCGAGTGGAAAACTGTTCTTTTACCAAAATTAACCGGGAGGCATTGATTTTTCAATCTTACAAAGTGCTTATCCAACTGGTTTATTGTTATCATGAGAATACAGCAGCGCCGGCGACGGCGGCTACTCTGTGGACACAACAACTGGAGCTCAAAGACCTTGATTGAGTTTCTCTAACGAAACAAGGTCTTGGTAATCTTTATTATCGCCCCTATTTTAGAAATCTATCGGAGCATAGAGAACGTACTACGAGTGTTTCATGAAACCTTCTCATGGTCTTGACGAAAATTTGTACAGCTATATTTTATATAGATGTAGTTTTTTAAATATTTCAAGTACTTAAAATATTTAGATATTTAATTTAAAAAGATTAACTTTTTTTTGTTCTTTGAATGTTTGTGAGATAAATAAAAGATAATTACTTAACCACAGACCATTGCTGTTGGATCATTTAGTTCGAGGGGTAAAGACATGATAATTTCTTTACCCCTCGTACTAAATGATATTTAGACATTGTGCTGAAATCATAGATATTTCGTTCTCGAGTTCTGTGAAAAAAAAACTGCAAAATGAATCTGACGAAATCGCGCACGCAAAAAGTGTTAGATTTAATTATTTTTACATACATATGGCGAGGTAAAAAAAATCTATAGAAAACTTGCTACATTTGTATCTTGAGAGAATGGACAGCCAATTATAATTATTATTTTAACAAACACTTTCATTTACTCTCAATTACTTTCTACGTTATCCTCCGAATGCAAGCAAAAAAGAAACGCTAAGTGAAAACTAATAACATCCGGATGGACGGATCAGAGAGTAAAAAATAAAAACTAGTTTTGTGTTTGACAGTGACAGGCGACCCACACAAGGTGGGCCATAATTAACACTATTAAAGTAAGGTGAATTTGATATGTATAGTATTTTTGATATAAATAACTGAGCAAATCTGCTGACTTCATAATAATGAAGATTCTCCGGTATTTATGAAATGAAGTTTGTAATGGACTTGGGCGCCAAGAATTCGTCTTACAATTTTAACAAAAACATATTATCAATGAAGGCAATACAATTATTTCCATGTTATTGATGTTTATTTGGATGTAAACGGCTACCTTTTTACGTGGTTATGAACATTTGTTCAGTCAAGCTTTCTCCTTTGTTATTTTAAGTCATGTTCTTTTTATTATCGTTAGGTACTTGTACGCAGACATTCTCCAATTCGCTGGAACATCTTGATTACGCAGTTATAGCGTTGTTATATAAAAGGAACATTTAAATTGGTTTTTGTTATTTCTCCAAATAAAAAATCCGTAACGTATAAAAATGTATTTGTCAAATATTTAAATAGGTTAAACTTTTTTGTAATTCTGTTATAGATAAAATGTTATAGTTACCTACGACTTTTTCTTAGAAAATATGTAACGCAATTATGTAAGAACAAAGTAAAAGAAACAATATAATAACTACTAAATCTGATACAGTTATCCATTTGAATCGGTAAGAGAAAGTTTAAGTTCAGTGCACTAAAATCATTTATTATGGATGGTTAATGCATCGATTTTCAGCCCTTAACTATTTCTGAAGAACTAGTAAGCGTTTTCTTTAATATCAGTATGAAGGCCGTCCATACAGGAATATCTTTCTACGCTTATAACGAACATCCGAATAAAAGATTTCAACGACTTCGCTAAGTATGTAAGTATCAATGCGGAGTATCATTTGGTTTTTGTTTATCATAAAAAATATACTTTTAATTAAATGAAATCATTCATTGACTATGGTATACATAAGAGCATTTTTTATGGAATTAAATTCTTAATTACAATTTAAGATTAACCTTGTTTACATGCACGTCACTTCATCTTGTCAAATATTTGGATTCAAAAAAGTTGGAATGAAACCTCATGAAAGATGATATTTTTTTTTATTTTATTAATAACTTTGGTGTATTGTTTTACATGGTATTATTTAAAAAATTAAAATCACTTAAGTACCTGATTAGACTTCTTTATTAGTTCAAGTTTATTTCAAAATTATAGTATAAGTATTACGTTATTTGTTAAGAAATTTAAACTTTATTAAGAAGCGCAGAACTTTGACAATTATAAGCGGTACTACAGAATATAATGATTATGGTTCATTTACATTTACTGTCTAACTAATTTTCATTCCGAAATGATATCTTGTCCTCGACCCATTAGCTACGACTTTATGTCAAGGTGTATAAGGTGCTATGTTGTTTATTCTTGGACAAAAGAATTCACTACATAGGTATTTATGTTTGTAAATTATTATTCCAAACAATACGTGAATATTTATAACGCTCAAATTATGCGTTTAAACATTTTTCTGTTTCATTTGACGGCTTCGCTTCAAAATATTTTTTTGTCAGAATTTATGGTGAAACAAGTAATATTTCACTGCTGTGAAAAGTTAACAGTTGGTAGTTTAACATTTATAAGCGAATTTCATCTTTTGTTATTTGTTTTTACTCATAACATCTGAAAAAAAATTGCGATGAGTAAAAAAGCAAACAGACAAAATAAAAGTTCGTACTAAATTGTAGCCGTGAAACTGAAAGCTGTACTCAACTATCCTCAATGTTCTAATTATAGTACGAAACACACAGATAATGAAACAGTATGTAGTGAGTTGCTGAGAAAACAGCACACGTTTCTAAAATAAATATCTTTATCTTTTTCTTTCTTTATCACAAGTCGATTTTACTGTCGCTAATTATTCGACGAAATTTGTGAACTAAATCTCACGTTTCGGAAACTATAGTGAAAAATTTATTAATTTGATATTTATTCTCACCATAGCTTAACACGAGGATAGGCTTAGATAGCGAGGCGGATGATGATGAAAGCTTAAAATAACGTGCATTTGTATAGAGTCTTGAACTTTTCATAAACTTGACTATATAATACATGTAAATTGAGATGTAAATAGTTGGACATTTCAACTGTTTCACATTGAAGAGCTAATGACAAGAGAAAACACGAAAAGTACGACAAACATATTTATTTAAAATCATCCAGTCACGTTCATACAGCTTAGTTACAATACATTGTATATTACAATTTAAATTAAATACCTACTTCCGCTAAATTAACTTCCCTACATATTACACAGTTTCATATTGGTTATCAGAAACAAACTATTTTTTGTGTTAAAATAAGAGCTTATTTTCTATAAACGTTAGAGTAACAATTTAATATGTCTGTATTTTTTATAACTGGCTGCCTTGCGTAATGTACCTATTTATTGATTGATGCGATGGCAACTTGCCGCATTATATTCAGATTCGTATTCAAAGGTTTCTTTGTGTAAAAAACTAATCGTACTCAATTTAACAAGTTAAAATCTTAGGGTAGGGACATTGGTAATAAATTATTTTGCTAGCCGATGCACCTTTGTCGTAGAAGTTAGAATGTTTATTGTTGTAAAGGTGCGGCATTTGGCAATAATATGTCCTCGACCTTTAGCGTGCATCGGGGAAATAAGAGACTCATCTTCGAGTCGCATCTCAGCTTAAGGTGCTCAAAGGTCGCACAGACGCTCGTAACAACTAATATCTTATTCAAAATATACAAAGCTATATCTACATGCGCATATCACTGGGAGGACCTAGAGGTCAAGGTAACTCAATATTTGGTAATGTAACGCGTCAGTCCAGGCGTATATAGAACACTGATTCTTCAGGGTCATGGCCTCGGCTCCACCGAGAAATTCTGCGAGGACTAAGCCAGCAGGTGGGCTAGGGCTATGAATAGCACCGACGCACCAAGAGTCGGGACTGCAGCAGCTCCCGGAAGGCCAGCTGGCTTCAAATCTTCCGAGAAAATGTAGCTCTTTGATCCCGTAAAAGACTTCAAAATTCTATAGTTCACTTCCTTTGTGAAAACTTGGTTCTTTACAAAGTTGTAAAGTCTATTTACGACTACATATATGTTTCCGCGGTCGTCAAATGTGAACCGATCAACCCACTGGATGTAGTTGGGGTCGCGTGCGATGGTACGTTGGCCAACGTGGAAATTGACCGTCGTATTCCATTCCGCAATGGTCGAGTTGCCTATTAGACCGAAGAAAAGTACGCCATTCGAGTCCATCTTCATGCCATCTGTTTGTGAGGCTTTAGTGCCAAGATCAACAACGTAAGGGCGAATCGACCCATCTGTGCCTTCTATCGAATCATTTCGCAAAACTGATGCATTGATTGCGTACAAGTGAAAACTCGATAATGGGCAATAATAAATTGTTCTATCGATGTTACCATCTGAAGTATAAAATTGAGGTCCTAAAGCGATTCCATCTATGTTTACTGGAAGATTGATGCTAGTTCCGTTGATACGGAATGCAGATGCTTCGGGCATCGATGACATTGATTTTGTGTCTCGAACTTTCCAAGATTTTTTGTCACTGCGGCGGAACACGATGATGCCCGGATCGACGGCACTGTTGTCAGTGATATAGGCGTAATCACCATCACGATTGTCCACCACGATGTCGTTTAAATATGTCGTATTCGAATTTAAAATTTCGGCGGGGAACGGGATGCGTTCCATTTCATTTTTTCCAGATTTTAGGTCAATTAAAACCAACGACGGGGGGCACATCGGATTCGGTTTTTGTGTGAGTGTTCCTACGCGTCCATTGTCCAGGATCCACATGACTCCGTTTTTGTCAATTTCGACATTCTGCACGAATTGCAACGCGGAGCAGTTACCGACTGCATTGTCTTCCCAGCTAGGGAAGGGCTTCAGTTTGGGCGCCGTGTCGCTCTGCTGCACCGGCACGGTCGCCAGCGTCGCCGGCACTCCGTCCAGCATCCTGGGTACCGTCAGGAAGAGGTTTTCGCCGTAGAAATTTATGCCAGATATTAGTACGTTTTGGGGTATGTATCGGTTCGTACTTAGGTAGGCTTCGCGATCTGCTGGGGAGCGCCATTCGAAGTCTATGACGTTCCATTCGTAGATGACACGGAACTGTTCGCGCCTAGGCGAGGGCGGGCGCGCGGGTTGCGTGTCGTTTTGCGCGGCCGCGGCGGCGAGTGCGGCGAGGAACAGCACTGGGAGCATGATGCGTGCGGCGCGATCGGCGCGGCCTTTAAGACTGACGCCGGGGCAAATCGCCGTCCGCGTCGCCGGCAATGCGAAGCTTCGCGCGTGATCACAACACTACGTCATTTCACGCAAATAAAAAACAACAAAACTCTGACTAATGCTTATACTATTGATAGAGAACAATATCATCTCAGATTCAGACAGTTAAAAACATCGATGTTTTAATAATATAAATTAGGTCAACGTACATTAACTATTTAAAAAGTAAAGATTAGCATATCCGCCAGACGTGCAAGGGTGTCCGAAGGTCACAAATCTCACCCTAAGCCAGACTGAGGGGCCGACGATAGACAAATTTATAACTCTTGTTGCACACATGTACGGTCGCAGTCAGATGATGTTAACCAGTTCTGAAATTAAATTCTATATCACACTTTTTTCACTAAAGTCTAAAATGCCATATCAAGTAACTTGTTACCTTTTAAAAGTTATAATGCAAAATGACGCATCGAGAATAATAAAAAGAATTATATATTACATTTTGATATTGAAACTCATTTCTTTGTTTGTTGAAATGACATTTATAAAAAATGATTGTTTGAACATTGTTTGGACAAGAGCAAAATTTACGTAAAATTTTCATTATCAAATTAAATAGCAAGTTTGACCCTGGAGAAAAGGGCTGAAATAATATTTCTCTTCGAAGATGGACATAGTATTAGTGCTATATCACAAAAACTCAATATATCGCGATTCACTGTGAGGTTTTGGATCCGGCGTCACGGCGAAGAAAGGCCATTAACAGATCATAGATATAATTCAGGACGACGACCAATACTAACCGCCGCGCAAATAACATAAATGATTCATCGTTACGAAGAGAACGGTTTCAAACCAACTAGTTATTTTGCTGCTTTATATGATGTGAGTGCTCGGACGATTCGACGAGCTTTGCACAGTGCTGGACTACACTACAGACACCATGCTATTAAAGTGGAGCTGTAACCTCACCACAAAACAGCATGGCATAACATCTCGATTTTGATAGGTTGAATACTATATTTACCGATGAGAAAACCTTTAAATCAAGCTAAATCGAAAGATTAACTTTATAGCGCTATAATCGAACTTGATATGATGAAGCTCATATCGTGACTCAAAACGAGTCAGGTCGCATAATAGTAAACACGGCCCTTGCTACTATGGCGTGGTTCAACCTGCACCATCCCATTCAATTCTATTGAAAATTTATGGGGTCTTATGGTTCAACGTTGGGTCTGTCAAAATGAAAGGAACCCTCATGATCTTAGATCACACTGTACTCGAGTATGGGATGATATTAGAGGGACCGATCTATGAGCGCGTCTTATTGCATCTATGCGAGATAGACTACGTGCCGTCATAGCTGCAGAGGAAGGTTATACTAGATATTAAATACTATTAAAAGCTATTATTACATCCTGTCGATTTAAAAGAGATTTTAAACATTATAAAAACAATGAAACGTGTATATAGTTGTGGAATCGACGATATTCCTCCCATTTTGGTCAAAGAATGCGCGATTGAACTATCACTATGCTCGTATGTTTCCAAGATTGCAAATTTCCAGACTTATTAAAAATTTCACTAATCAAACCAATCCACAAGCAAGGTGACACTCAGAACCTCGTGAATTATAGACCCATTGATCCGGGGCCCAGCCTTCTCTTGTTTCAAATCACATCTTCAAAATAGAAAACAAATAGTCCAAATCGAACACTATAGCAACAACAATGAAATAATGAATATACATTCATAGGCCAGTCATTAAAGCCTTAAACCCGGAAATAATTAGTAACTTGCTGAAATTTTGAGGGTTTTCGAAAGAAGGTAAAATTACGTTGTTTATATTATTTAAGTTGTTCTTATCAATTTGTAACATCTATTAAATTTGCAGCGTTTTGCAACATACGGAACATTGACAACTTAATTCCAAAGGACATGGCAAAGTTTTGTATGAGCGACTGCCCTGGCAATGTATAAATACTGTACTTAGTAACATTTAATGGTAAATGGTTGAAAATATATAATTTCTATGAAAAAAGGCTCAGGAACTTTTGATAAAGTCACAATTTTGAAAATTATGAAAACTCTTACTATGTCATTACCTTACTACATTTGATAAAAGATGTTGCCAATTATTTACAGATTCATCGATTTCGCATTTTCTTAGAACCTTTCTTCCCATTTCTCTGATTAACTCTTCACAAAGTGTTTTAAAGCAAAAATAAATACAAATAATTTGTTATCGGCGGCCTGACAGGAAATCTTTGAAGTTTTTTATTGTTCATTTGCAAAAATTAAAGGATTAATTATCATACAGCCTTGTCTCAAGCCTGATCAGAATAATAAAATCTATTATTTTAGGCCTTCAGTGATTTGTTTTTATAAAAAATATGGCCAAATATGTCATAGTTTGAAGAGTTTAGAAATAATATTGTTTATTTCGATATACTTACACAAATATTGTGTTGTGATTGTTCATTTATTTTGTAAAACGGAGCATTTTACTTTTTAAACAGACATGAAGTCAATTTTTATACTTATAAATATTTGATTATTTCACTAAAGTTGTATGAGAATAATAAATACGTAATAATTAAAAAAAATATTGTAAAGTTACTGCTAGTGCGAAATATTTATCAGGGCAGTTTCTTAGCCATGTCCTTTACAGCGTGTTACTAACGACTTTACGACTTAATTTTGCGATACCCTTACAGGGTCATGTACTATAACTAAGCATTTATGTGACATCTTTTAACTTTTGTACATGAAAGCAAATTTATTAAAAATAAAAAAAAGATTATTGAAGTTTCTATTTTATTCTTTCTTGATATTTTTTGTTAAAAACTAAAATATCAGTTTTTTCAATGGTTTTCTATATTTGTTTGACGACATGACTAGTGAAGAGGTCATCGCCTACTGCGCAACGGGTCGCGGGTTCTATTCCCATACATCACGCATATTTTGTATGGCCTACATAAATTTGTCCTGGTCTGGGCGTATGTGCAATGTGCATGTGACATTATATGTTTGTAATTACACCCACGATACAGAATAAAATCATAGTGTGAGGAGAAGTATTAAAAAAAAATATATCAAACCTTGATAGTAGTCAGTCCATTTTCTAGAGCGATTGATTTTCATATCATTAGAAAAAAGAAATCTATGGTCAATCAAATTATTATGAAATAGACATTTAGAACTTGTGACCTAACGTGTGCATGCAATTATGATCCCTAAAGTGGTCAACATTTTCTGACCGCGACCGTACAAAGCTATTTGATTGTAGTTACGAGGGTTGGCGAACAATTGCTATTGAAACAAATTTAGGTGTAGCTTTTCAAAGCAAATTTAGTTCGCATAAAGCTTTTGTCTTACGCGCTTAATTACCGATTATGCATTAAATAAAATGACATAAAAATTAAATAAACATCACGATAATGCATAGAGCTGTCTGTGATGGTTGCATGGTTGTTTACACAATACCAATTTGTAAGCAACAACATTAAGAGTCGGTGTCTCTGTAACTTCGATTTGATTGTCATAGAATAATTATATTTAGTAGTTGATCATTAGTTCCTAACTTTTAAGAAACCACGATTTTTTATTTATCTATTTTGGGTAAATGGATTGTCTACTGTGTTATTATTAGGAATTATTATAAACATAGTAAATATTTATTGAATTACGTTTAGCCGTAGCAGATCTTCGATTAGTTTAATAATCCTTAACCCCTATAGAAGAATACAAATCGTAAACCACTTGCAACGTTACTGAAAAAAACTGTCGACCACTGCAATGATGGCGGCTCCCTTTGTTAAATATGAACTTGCAGTTTTGTCTGTAAAACTTTCTGAACCTGGGCTGGGGGAGCCATAAGTCATAAGGGAGACATAAGTCTTTTGAAATAATAAATGTATGAAATTATGAATGTGGGCCATCCTAGAAATCGGACCAGCTTGGGTACAAGTACCTTATATTTGCTTATTTTTATTGTTTATTTTTTGAAGTGCAATCTTCGTAAGGCTTGTTGAACATTTTTTTGAAATGAGCTTTTGATTTATTTTTGTAATCATTTTATTTAGATTTTTCTTAAGTTTTGAGTTCACTTCTGCAGGCACTCACGGAGTGCCACCAACATCTTTTTATATTTAATTATTTCATTATTATGAAAAAAAAGTAAAATTTTCATATCTCACAGTTAAATGCTTAAAAAAAAAATATATAATTTATTATTATTGTTACTATTTATTGTTAAAATGTTTATATTGATTTATTTATAATACATCATAATTATTGCTAATTACTTTGTTATCGTGTTAAGCAAAGTAGTAGTCAAGAACTACAGAATAAAGGGATTTTTTGTAGTTATTGACCGTCCAAAAAATGTCGCATGCCGAAATACTTTTGCAAAGGTTGCAAGAAAGCTATTTGTGGTGTACACAGAGTTTCTATGTACAATATAGCTATTGCATGTAGGTTAATTTCAAAATGGATTTTCCTATTTGATTTAGAATGAACCATAAAACTATTGCAGGGTAATTTGATAAAAAAAATGAATAGATATAGTGATGTATTATTTCGCAGTCTGACAGACGAAAGGTTTGTGACAACGTTACTCGAAAATAAGATAACCTTTAGCGTGAGTAAGACCAACTTAATTAAATTGCTGTTCAGTTATAGTACCGGTTAGGTCAGAAAATAAGATGCATCATTCTAATTGCAACAAAATCAGGTCTAATTTGACAGTGACAATTAACTGCCCAAGCAACTCTAGTTAAAAATTAAAAGATAAAGCTCTTGGCCAAATTTATTTCCCATAAACAAACTAAGATTATAACAAAGCTCCTTGCTTTACTTGTTTTATGTTTGTGTTGTCCTGATTGTGACGTTTTTCTTTACAGGTAAAAGTGCTTATAAAATAGGTAACCAAAATTTTGATTTTTAATTGTCATTCCCTTTCATGTAATGGCTAACCACTTGACATTGGCGGAGCTGTGCTAAGTCACAACGCAAGCCATCATAAAAGAA